GGTGGCTCTGTCCTTCTCCATAGAACATCCGGGTACGCTCTGTGGCGGGCGTCAGCTTCTACATGCCCTGACCCATCTGTGGGTCACTTTGAGTTAGAGTCCACTGTGGGAGGCTCCGTAAGTCCCTCTGAGGGCCAGTGAGGCTTGGAATCCCGTTAGCGGTGGCAGCAGCTCCAGTGTCTGTATTTGGTGTGCACGTCCGGGACCAGGCCGGAGCTAAGTATTTCAGACAAGTGATTTCATCGGGTGCTTGCAGCAGCTCTTATAGAAACGGTGTCAGAACACTCTAGACCTGTTTGTTCCTGCCCTCCCTGCCACCCCCTCCCCCACCGCCCACTCCCACCTCTTCACCCTCCCCACTCCCATCGCCACCCCTGCAGTGGAGACCAAGTGCCCTGTCACAGGAGGCCTGGAGCCAGGGGAGGGCAAGCAGTAGAATGAACAAGCCCAAGCTACCCTCCCCAGGGCAGCCAGGCATCTGCTGAGGCTGAGCAGCAGGCTGGGGCCCTGGCCCCTCAGAGAGGCTCGCCAAGGGGCCCCCAACAGCAGGCCTGGGCACATGGGTCTTGCTTTTCTGGTCCCATGTCCCCAGGTTCACCTGGAGCTCCGCCCACATGGACAGGAACCTGCTCCTGCTCCTGACGGGGCAGCATGTGGAGCCCTTTGACGTGGAGTTCCGGGAGCTGTACGCCATCTCCGAGGAGGTGGACTTGTACGGGAAGCTGGGCCTGGTCGGAGCCGGCCGTCTCGGCCTCAACTATTCATCCACCGTGGCGCGCAAGCTCATCAACCCCAAGTATGCCTTGGTGGCGGGCAGCCGGCCCCCGCCTGGCGAGATGATGCGCTGGGCCGCCAGGCAGGAGCGGGCCGCTGCCAGCCACCCGGACGAGCAGGAGGAGGGCAGTGGAGGTGGTGAGTCAGCCCGGCGCCTGGAGAGCTTCCTGAATGACCTCGTCAGTGTGAAGCAGGTGCTGCCCCCTGTGGACCCCATCCCCCTGACAGGGTCCAGCCGGCGGGATGACAAGGCCCGCCAGGCCCAGGACCAGAATGGCAAAGAAGCCACCAACGGGAAGGCGGTCCCAGCCAAGGAGGGCAAACGCTTCGGCAGCGGGTTCTTCAACCGTCGGTCCAAGAGGCCAGTGGCACCCAACGGCATGGCCAGCTCCCTCCAGGTGGAGGCCGCTCCTGAGGTGGAGTTTAAGATGGGCAAGAGGTCCACCGAGGACCCCGCCACCAGCCTCTCAGGTGAGCCCTCTTCCTGTCCCAGAGCGCCCGCTCAGGCTCCAGGGTCACACAGTACCAGGTGCTCACGCTGGGTCCTGCCTTCCCTGCCTTGGGACCCTGCGGTGGCGTTGGCCTTGGCCAGGTCCACGCCAGCTGTGCCATGCCAAGTCCAGTGCCAGGCCCGGCGCCATCTGGGAGTCCTGAGTGCTCTACCCTGC